TTTTACCCTGGGTTCGATCGAACCCCATGGGTTCGGTGAGTCAGTCTCAGTGGTTCGGTGGAGGACAAGACACACACCCGACTCATATGATTCGTGATGGCACGCCCCCCCATTTGGCCATCTCCGAAGGGTTTAGTGAATGCGCATATGAAACTGGTGGGGTTCAGTACCTCCAACAAGGTTAAGAACCACTGGTGTAGAGGATGCCATCCTCTACCTCCTACACCAAGCCCACTCACATCTGGACAGGGGGGACGGTGCTGTGAGAACCCTCTTCTTGGATTTTTCTAGCAGCTTCAAAACCATCCAGCCACTTGCACTCCAGGATAAACTGACGCGAATGCAAGTGGACCCCTGTCTTGTCGCCTGGATTTCCAGCTACCTCACGGACAGACCACAGTATGTCAGGCTGAATGACATCACGTCTAACACTGTGGTCAGCAACATCGGACCACCACAGGGGACAGTGCTGTACAGTATGTACAATATACTGTATAAAACAATACAAAACAGCATAAGAAAATAAATTGTAACATTAACTATGCAACCATTGCAATACAACTCTGAGGCTACACATGAAATGTTAGTCTTAACTGTCAGTGTCAGGCCAGTTGTCATCCTCCTTCTCCTTGATTTCATGTTTGTTTGCAAAGTGGCAACACCTACACAGGTCTGTACAATCAGGTGTACAATCTGTTCATGCTGTTGAAGACCTGCGGTGTGATCATGAAGAATGTGAGTCAAGCGTGTTTTTGCATGCACAACATGCTGCAAAAGAGCATGCAACTGTCATCATTAAGAGCCCTGACACTGATGTGGGAGATATTTTCTGTAACAAGTGAGCAGGAAGAGTACATTAAGGGTTTTAAAAATCTGAGTGCTAACTTAAACTTGGACCACTCAACATTTGCACTACTTTGCAAATATGTATGCCGCCTGTATGATCAGCTGCCTGCTGAAAATGTCAATGAGGCTAGGTACAAGGCTTTCTGTATGGCATCATCAGCCTCGCCAGAATTGTCTATTCCCCCCCACAAGTGATGCCCTCCATCAGCAAATTATCAGGCTGCAGTCATGAGGTCCTGCATCAAACAAAATATAGGTGGTACAGACTTGTGTAGGTGTTGCCACTGTGCAAACAAACATGAAATCGAAGAGAAAGAGGATGAGAACAGCCCTGACATTGACAGTGAAGACTAACATTTCAAGTGTAGCCTCAGAGTTGTATTGCAATGGTTGCATTGTTAATATTACCATTCATTTTCTTATGCTGTTTTGTATTGTTTTATATATTGTACATACTGTATGTATATATATTTTAATAAAGTTTTTATGATTGATCGTGTTGTATTTAGTTTAGGAGCGAATAAATGACCGAATGAATAAACAAATGGTCCTTGTCATTGATTATTTCCTTTTATTGATCAAAATGACTTAACAGAGAAAGTTCACCTTATCGTCTATTTGCCTCATTGTTCTTGGTGCAGGCAGCTATGTATAAAGCACTGTTTAGAATCCATTTGGCCCACTTCAGAAGACTTTTGGGAGAATTCCTCTCTATCTGTAATGTTAAGTAGAACCACGTGTTGCCAGAAGTGTTGACATCAGTCAGCTACTCGATTGGTGTAACACGATCACGTGTCGAACCATGCCACTGCTCGCGCACCAAAATCTTACTGCGCCCCGAAGACGCTAGTTCTTTATAAAATGCATCGATATAAAAAACGGGCAGGATATTTTGCAACAAACTTTTTGCTGTAAGTTTAATGTAACTCGTTCCTATTTATGAAGTTGAGATTGTGTAGTTCCCAGACGTTGGAGTGGAATTCAATTTCTAAAGGACTTTTTGTGGTTCACTTTACGTCCTACTTCGCCCTATACTCCTCTGTCTTCTGGTACAACTCCAAGCTGTGTCACATCCAGTGGTTTGCAGATGACACAGCCATTGTGGGGTGTATTAAGGACAACAATGAGGAGGAATACAAGCGCCTCGTGAGGAACTTTGTTGGATGGAGCAAATCCAACCACCTGCAGCTCAACACCTCCAAGACCAAGGAGCTGGTCATAGACTTTGGGAAATCCATACAAAAACTCCGACCAGTTCTTATCGAGGTGGAGGTCGTGGAGACCTATAAATACCTTGGGCTGTGGTTGGACAACAACCTGGACTGGGCACACAACAGTAGGCAGCTGTACAAGAAGGCCCAGAGTAGACTGTACTTCCTGCGAAAGCTCAGGTCTTTCAACATCTGCAGGAAGCTCCTGAAAATGTTTTACCAGTCTGTAGTTGTCAGTGTTATTTCGTACGCTGTGGTGTGCTGGGGGAGCAGCACATCAAAGAAGGACTTACACAGATTGAAGAAGCTGATCAGGAAATCTAGCTCTGTGGTGGGCATCAAACTGGACCCTCTGGTGACAGTGTCAGAGAAGAAAACACTTGGCAAACTGCTCGCCATCTTGGACAATGCCACTCATCCACTGCACACTGTCATCAGCAATCAGAGGAGTCTGTTCAGTGACGGGCTCCTCCTTCCGAAGAGCAGGACCAATAGACTTAAAAACTCCGTTGTCCACCGGGCAGTTAAACTGCTTAACTCTTCACTGCGGGGGAGGGCAAACGACTGGTGGATAGAGGAGTAAGTCCAATAACCCAACAATAATTTCTGTGCAATAACCACAATCTCCATTTGCATTACTATTATATTTCAATAAACCAGTGTATTTCTATTTTATATTCTATTATAAGTATATGTTTATGTATACGTGTATATATATGCTCACGCAATGCTAATGTATGTGTATGTCTGTACATGAGTATGCATATTTACAGTGGATATAAAGTATACACACCCTTGTTCAAAGCCAGGTTTTTGTGATGTAAAGAAAAGACACAAGCATTAATCGTTTCATAACTTTTTCCACTTTTAATGTGACCCATAACATGTAATAGGCAATTGAAAAACAAACTGAAATCTTCACGAGGGAAAAATAAAAAATAAA